GGCAGGAATAACCAACTTAGAGGTTCACTGAAAAAACCAACACCCCTCCTAAGCCTAGGAGAAGGATCCAGGTTGCAGGATGTTTGGTCAGAATAACCAAACACTTTGCTCTAGGTTGGCAGGAATAACCAACTTAGAGGTTGGCTGGAAAAACCAACACTTATAGTTCTTCAACCGAGCTAAGGATCTAGGTTGAAGAGGTTGGCTGGAAAAATCAACACTTATTGTTCTTCAGCCGAGCTGAGGATCTAGGTTGAAGAGGTTGGCTGGAAAAACCAACACTTATTATTCTTCAGCCGAGATAAGGATCTAGGCTGAAAAGGTTGGCAGGTATGGCTAGTTCGATTTCAAAAGTTAAAAACTAGGATAAAGTATCTCGATTTTTAACTATATTATACTTCATTCAGAATACAGGGTAAAATACATGCATGGAAGTTAACCGAAATAACAGATGAAGAAAACCAAGGATTTCATTGATAATGCAAAGCCAGAGTTACAAAAGGGTGGGATTTCAGCTTGGTTACAGTCTTTCTTTCCAAAAGTAAAAAAAGAAGAAAATACAAAGTCAAGCAAACAGGTCGTCAAGATCAGCATCCAGTTCAACTTGGAGCCCGATTTCAGTTGGTAGCTCAGTTGTTAGGTCTTCCACCGGTGGTTCCGCCGGAGCTGACTAAATGGCAGGATCATTGATGACTGGGGCATTATTAGGCACGGCCTCTTCATCATCATCTTCAGATTCAAGGAATTTTTGTTGAATGGCGGCTGCATACTCCACTATACAGCTCGGTATGAAGTACGATGGAGGGTTCAGGAAAACCTCAGCCTCTGGACCATGACCGAGCTGTTCCACCGCCGCCTTCCACCCGCACTTAAAAAATAGATCCTTGGCAGCTTCGCACTGCAGAATGTGGGTTGCTTCACCTTCTTTGAAGCCGCAGTCTTCTGCATCATTGATCTTCTTCTCAAGGTCAGTTATCTCGGCCGTCTTCTTATCCTCTATGGTGGCAAGCTCACGCAGGTAGTAGTCTTTCAGCTCGGTCAAAGCTTTTTGTTTCTCCATTTCGGCTGTGTTAACTACACCGATGAGGCGGGCTACCTCAGATTGAAGTTCGGCCATTTTTTGTTTGGCTTCGTTTAGCTCGGCCGTCTTCTAGTCAGCCTCTGCCAAGGCTTGCCTTGTTATTTTGCGTAGCTCTAGCACACACTTATGAGCAATCTGGTTCTTCTACATGGCCTGCATAAATATGGTAAGCAAATCAGAGTAAGAACCGAGCTAACAGTTGCGCAAAAAAGGAATATAAAGGAAAAAATACTCACTAGCACCATTGATTTAGTGGCCGAACGGATAGCTTTTAGCTCGGTTAGGTGGTCATGATGATCCATATCAGGGGGTAGACACACGCTCTTAGCCAGATTGAAGGCCAGCATGTGATCTTTGTCTGCCACCACTGAATCTGTATCTCGGATGGCTCGGTTCTGGTACGATAATTTCGGTACCCAATTAGAAGAGTTAGCTTAGTCCAAGCTCTCAGGTTGCGGGCTTGGTACTGCGGTTGGAGGAAGCACAGTTTCATCCTCATCGACAAGGCGTGGCTCGGGGGGAGAAATCCGAGCACGCTTACTTGCCCGAGATGATGAAGGCTGATGGGTTGGCAGGGCTACCACGGCCTCTTATGTTTGGCCGGTCGGTGGTACCTCGGGCTGGTTTGTTTCGGTCCGAAGGGCTCTTACGGCTCTCTTCTTGGCCATTTCTTGTTCAGCAGTTAGTCGAACCAGGTTGATTTCAGGCAAGGATGGGTCCGGTTCAAGAGAGGCTTCCAACAAAAAGTCAGTCACCCTGGTCTTTCACCTGCTACTGTATCTATACGTTGGTTCAAAATTCAGTAGCTCGGCCCAACCTCTATTAGGATATCGCAGTGCGGCTCGAAGTATGTTTAAGTTAGGATAGCTGTATTGAGACTTGAGAAAGTTCAAATCTGCATGCAAGGAGACAACAGTTAGTGCAGTTCAACATCAGAAAACCGAGGTAAAACAAAGCATGGAATTGAGCCGAGATAGTCCTACCAGCTACACCCTTGTTCCAATTTATTCTGTCGCCCGGGATCTGGGCTTGTTGGTCCTTAAAGTTCCTAGATACCCAGAGGAAATCATCATCATTCACATCTTTATCCGGGGTATTCTTTATTATCTTTTCACACCGGTGCCTTATTCTTAAATAGTAAACCCACCCATCTTCATTTGAACCTAAGGAATATTGGTGGAAAAGCTCGGCTAAACCAAGGTTAAGGCCAGCCCGGCGGTTTAGCTTGGCGATACCATTTATTATACGGTATAAATTTGTGGAAAGCTGGATAGGGCAGAGGTTGGTTTGCCTAAGAAATTCACAGAGAAGAGGCTGTACAGGGAATCTTAATCCGGTTTCTACAATGAAAAGAAGGGCAAAAGGAACAAAACCAGAGTTTTCCCAAGGTGTGATATTTAGTTTGGCTAGGGTGAGGTGGACATCATCAGGGATATGGTAGTCCCTTCGGAACTCGGCCATAGCACCTGGGGTGTTTACCAAATATCTATATTTACCCAAAAGGTTTTAAGTTATGAATAAATAAGCAAAGTATTAGCTCGGTCCTGAAAGGACGCTCAGTAGCTCAGTCGAGTGTTCAAGAGAGTGCTTGGCAGCCTAAGTCTGCAAAGTGAAAAATGAGAGGTGTTAAGTACAGATCGTTGGACTGTGCTAAAAGAGACAAAGGCAAAATAAATGAAGTCCTAGCTCGGCTACGTGGGCCACTACCCCTTCTTAGCCCGGTTTGAGCAAGGGTCCATAGCCCGGTTAAGTCTTTGGGGCAGCATTCTTAGTTCGATCTGAACTAAGGGAGCTGGTTTAGCCCCAAGTTTTAGCCCGGTCGGTGGTTGTGGCTTTCTAGCACGGTATTACGTAAACTTAGTACGGTTCTATAGCTCGGTTAAAAGAAGCAGAGGGTCCCTAACTTATGGAAGCTATAAGTATGGCGTGAAGTTTTAGTTCTGTTGTTAGGTGTGGCTAGGTTTGCACTTAATACAAACATTATCCTAGTTCGGTTGGGGTGTGATTTTGGATCAAATACAGTGTTTCTCAGATTATTCATGAAATACAAGTGGTTTTTATTACGTGGTTTTTCCCAGAAAAATGGAAGCAAACATGGTATGTATTTTGAAAAACATATGAATACTGAACTATGTATTGCAAAAACAGTGCAAAATAAATGAAAAGGAAACAGATTTGAACCACTTACCAGCTCAAGATGGAGGAACTGAAGAAGGGAGCGATGGCAGCAAGAACGCAAGTTTTGCAGGCACTATGTTTGAGAAAAGTGAAAGCATTGAGAAGAGAGTGAGAAAGAAGGTGAATAGTGCAAGTGAAATGATTCAAAAACAAAGGGTTTGGTTTTTTGGAAAGAGAGAGAAATGGCGAGACTGTTCAAAAAATGCGAGGTACCATGACGGCGTAACAGCTATACGTGGCTAATGAGAGTTTGCCACGTGTCCATAGAATAGAAATCAATTCAGTTACAACGACTAAAGGGACGTTTTGATCGGACAAATGGAGCTCAGAATGAATTTAGCTCGATGGAAAGGCTAAGGTTTTTAGCTCGGTTGAAAAGCTAAAGCTTTTAGCTCGGCTGGTAACAGGTAATCCCTATCATGCTGCGCATATGGAATTAAAGAGCAATTGAGAGGGTAATTTATTTGAAAATTTGGGCCGAGCTAGATCTATGGGCCGATCTGTGGGCCATAATAAGAGAGGCCTAGTAAAAGGGACTAGAAGCTAGCCCAGTCCAAGAGAGCTCTGCAGTCAGCTCGGTCACCACACTCAAAGCGGTAACAGTTAGCTCGGTCATACCATGTTGAGCCAAAGTAAGGTGGGCTTTCCTCAGAACCTTGCTATTGGTTAGCCCGGTCCAAACTTGTTGTGGTTAGTGCGGTCTCAGACAACCTAGTTGGAATATGTCAAACCGAAGTACACGCAGTGAAAGGAAGAACCAAGCTAATGGGAGCTCGGTCTAGTTTGCGGCTTTAGCATGGCCATGCTATCTCGGTCGTATTGACATCCAACCGGGGTAGAACCATCTCACTTGGTTTAAGCAGTGAGGGGGGTGTTGAAGGATAAGCATTATCTTTCATGAATGTGATTTCTAAGAGGACTCTACATGGAGGAGTAAGAGTCCTACTTGGATTGTGCCACTTGGAACCTATAAAAGCTCACAACATCACCTATGGAGAGTTTGATTCTTGAATACACAGAGCTTTTGCCTATTTGTCTATTTTGCTGACTTAGGCATCGAAGAGGTATCCGGCACACACCCGCCGGCTAACTCACGTTTGTGTTTTCAGGGAGTAAAGCGACGACGTTTGGAGGAGCACAAACTTAATCAACAGAATTATACGAGAAGATTATTCGTATAGTTTCTAATTAGTGTTGTTGCACACAAAGTTGCATTTAGGAAAACAGCATTTGTTGTTTTACAGGAAGAATGAAAAGAAAATAAAAAAGTAGCTGCTTCCAAAACAGAATTTTATGATTCCAAGTTTAAGACACAATTCCCAATCAACCAATAGACACCCTCACCCAAACAAAAGAGAAAATGAAGACTTTTCAGACGATCCAATGTAAAGTGAGACAAACACAAACCATCACAAAAGTGATTACCATTCAAACCCAAATGTTTGAGTTTTAGACATTTTAAATATTTGTTGGTGTTGACCGTGTCATTGAAAGTACACTATTCTAACCAATTTGGGATTTTTTTTTTTTTTCCTCCATAAAATAAGTATGTAGATGAGCTGCTCCACATATCTGCCAGAGAGTATTACTTCTTGGCACTGACAGCGCATCTGCAGATACTTTCACCGCACCTACGTTGGGGCTGAAGCTAAGGTCCCCACATACTTTGAATGTTAAGAAGTATGTTTAATCCCAATAAAGAATTATAGAGACTCAAACTCAAGCTTTGAGTGAGGAATTATAAAATTTTCCTATGACCGTAATTATATGGATGCATTCTTGGGAAATATATTTGAGAGTTTTGAATCTTTTAACATTGAAAATTTATCATTCAGATCCAAGTTTGAGCTTATACATATTCATCTCACACCATAGAGCTATCTTTGAATCTTGATGTGGTCTCTAGACTTCTCATATTATCTCACGTCTAATTCAATCATAGACACTTCATTCATAGACAGCGACATTGACTTGCTTGTAGATTGATCAGACTCAGAGCCTTTTTGCATATTTCTTGTTTCGCTATGAGCGAAAAATGCAGGTTGATGAGGAAGTGGGAGAGCAGTAGAGTAACTGTTCAGCATCAGAACTACCGTTGCCATAGAGGGTCTGTCATCCGGATCTTCTTGGACACACAACAAGCCGATATGGATGCATCTAATGACTTCATTTCTTGAATAAGACCCTTTCAAAATTGGATCCATTAATTGCAGGGGTGTTTCTTCCCTCCAAAGTTTCCAAGCCTGCAAAATTTCATTATATATGACTTTGTGGATGTGATCATAACGTCACGAGAAGGAAAATAATAATTAGAATCTATCGTTACTACTCACATAGCTAAGAAGGTCAGCAGCACATTTTGATTGGTAAAAGGTATTGATCTTCTTGCCACTTACGATTTCCAAAACTAAGACACCGAAACTAAATACATCGGACTTCACAGAGAATTGTCCACGCATTACGTACTCAGGAGACATGTAACCGCTGTACATGAGTACCATAACAATAGAATAAGAAGACAACGAGAACTTTGTATAAAAACTATTTTGGATTAAATAATGTATGAAACCATTTAGGACATAATGCACCAAAATTCACCTGAAAAAGTGTAGTCCATCAAAAAGACTACTATCATTAGGAAGCTAATTTGGTAATTTGAATTATGCTTTACTTGAGATTGCTTAAATTATGTATTCTTTTAATTAAAATTATGGACAAACTTACTATGTTCCAACGACTCGACTTGTATTTCCCTGAATTTGATCCACACCGAAAATCCTAGCCATGCCAAAATCTGAAATTTTAGCATTGAAATTGCCATCTAATAGAACGTTGCTAGCTTTGAGATCACGGTGTATAATTCTAAGCCGGGAATCTTCATGAAGATAAAGCATCCCTCGAGCTATTCCTCCTATAATCTTGTAACGATTGAACCAATCCAACCTCTCTTTTTCTTGTGGATCTGCACATTTATCAGTAAATATGTTCGCAACGTGTAAAATTCAGAGAATGTGCACTCATATGAAACTAAATAAAAAGCATTAATAAGAACTAGAGTGTTCAGATTTGCCGAACCGAATAAAACGTAGTCAAGGCTTTTGTTGGGCACAAATTCATAGATGAGTATCTTCTCTTCTCCTGCCAAACAATATCCCAATAATCTCACTAGATTTCTATGTTGAAGCTTGGCTACCAACACAACCTCATTCTTGAATTGTTCTGCGCCTTGCCCTGAGGTTCGAGATAGTCGCTTCACAGCTATTTCTTGCCCATTGGGAAGTTTTCCCTGAGAATATATACGACATCCATTGAAATATTGGATTCGAATTTGGAAAGCAGCAAATGCAAGAATATTTAATTCCATTATCGAAATCAAGTGCAATCTTACCATGTATACAAGACCAAATCCACCTTCACCAATTTTGTTTTCAGCAGAGAAGTTGTTTGTGGCAGCTTGAACTTTACTCAAATCATATTGCAAGGACTCAGTTGTGCTGATATCATTCCCAGCTGGACAAATCAAAAGGTGAATGTAATGAATTTCTTGATCTCTTACAGGACCAATAATGGTTTAAACAAGATGAAGACAATTTTTTTTAATGGTTCTTACTCGTATCTTCTTCAACAGAATCATATTTTTTCTTCGCTTTCCTGGTGATGAAACAGAAGCCTATGATGAAGAGCAAAACAGAGACCCCAATTGGAACAATGATGATGACAAGAAGTACTTTTGATGGGATTCCTCCCTTTCCTGCCAAAATAAATAAATAAAATTGATTCATTAGCAAATAGTATCTCCATTTGAAAATTATGAATGATTCCAAATTTAATTATCATATTTGGGGAAGTAGGCATGATTTGTTAAATCTTGTACTTGTTATTTTATTTATTTATTCATTTGTTTGTTTGTGTTAGTTGTTATTCTTATTCAAACTCTATTTGTGTTTAATAGACGGCGGATTTCAAATTTGGATGAGGAAGATTGTGTTTAGATAGCCTGACATCAAACAAGTAAGGGTTGGTTTAGGGTATCCTAAAAAAGTGTATTTTTTATTTTTTTATGAAAAGATATGCAGAAAAATAGAGAAGTGATGTGATGGAAAAAAGATAAAAGGATAAATTATATAGTTCATGCCAAACCAACCCTAAAATTCAAATCACTTAATGCACATGAATCCTAATATGAAAGTCGAATTGATAAAATGATTCATGTGTCGACCCACTTGATTGAGACAAAATACTTAGTTTGATGTGATTTGATTTGATTTGGAAACTCCATCTAGCAACATGTCGGATGTAATCAACGTCATCTGACTATGGCAGAAAGATTAACTTTGTTTGGTTTGATTCAGTTCTCAATCTATTAAACCATCTGTTGAATTTGAATATGTGTTTGCGTTTTGAATTTGAATAGAAATTTATAAAATGATCTGTATGACTCAGTTTGGAGTTTACCTAGACTGGTTCCAGGAGGAAGGGCGGGCGAAGGTGGCGGCGCAGTGGCAGAGACGTTGTAAAAAGGGTAGAACTCATACCTAACATTACAACTCGGAAACAGAATCCTCGCACCCTGATTTCCATCACAACAATTCGGAAAATTCGAGATACCATTTCGGAGACAAGTATTGCAATCCGAAACAGTCAAGTCCGGAGTGCACTGTGCTAACCCGTACAGCGTTTGAAGCGATGAGAAGTTAGCTCGACTCGTCGCGAACTTCTTAACAGACCCACCATTCGAAGCCTGAGTTGCTATGTCATCCATTACACCTCCCAATACTTCTCCGAACCGTGTTAGGTCTGCTACGTTCTGTTTAACATTTAAAATTACCGAAAATGATTGATCGGAAATGGAGAAGATAGATTGGTTCGAGTATCGTAACATGCACTCATCGTACCAAATCGTGACAACCTTCGAATTTGGACATTTTTGTACTACATCTGTAGTAGCAAAGGAGACGCAGTCCTGACAGACGGTGGTGGAGACATCACCGCGGCAGAGGAAGAGGCCGTAGGCTGTGTCGGGGGGGTTGAGGCCGGCGGTGGAGTTGGAGAAGCCATTGGTGGAGGTGGTGGAATTGGAGGAGAGGGAAGAGAAGAGGGTGTTGAGGTTGGATTGGTATGTGCTGTTAGGAGTGTATATTGTTGTGTTTGGGCACTGAATGGCAAGGTAAGTTGGGGTTGCTTTGGTCTTGAGGCTAACCAAGAAGCCAATACAGAGAAACAGATATATTGTGGAGATATTGAAGGATGTGATCATGGTGATCAACTGTTAATTCTAGAGAGAGAAACACTTATGGTTTTTGATGATTTCAATTTATATTGGGAAATTTTATTTTATTTTTTATTTTTTTGTACATGGAAAGTTTATTTTCAAACCTCTGTGGTTTAGTCAAACATAAAAAAAAACAACTCTCTGATTTAGTCCACGTGCGTTTGCACACATGTCGTTTGAAAATAAGTAAATAATTTTAAGGTGAATTGTAGGGCTTAGTTTGGGAAAACTAAATAAGTATATTTTTTGATTTTTTATGAAATATGAATTGGGTTTGGGTTGGATTTGAAGTGATGTGTTAGAGAAGTGATGTGACTTAAATAAGATGATGTGATTTAAATAGGATGTAACTTTTTAACTTTTTATCTTTTTTCAATCATGTCAAACTTGACCAAAGTGCACCAAAAAAATATTTTGTTTAAATTAATAATAGTATTATAAAATACAGATATACTATTGACGTACTCATATTTAAATGTCATGAAAAAAATTGTACCTAAATATGAAAAGTAAAATGTATTTTGAGTCTTAACAAATAACAAAAATATATGTATGTTATTTAATGAAATTGATTATGTACAAAATGTTGGCTTTTTTGCTTAAGTCATTTGTGGTATAGTCCGTAGACTTTGGTCCACAAATTGCAAAACATAATACAAATGTTTTCAAATTTCATGGAGTAAATTGCATATAAAATAAACTGGAAATAAATAAAATAAAATTTGTTGATTTATGATCTTGTTTGGTGTTTGTTTCTTGTAATTTTAAAATTGATAATCAAATATCAGAAGTAAATATACGTGTATATATATATATATATATCCCATCTTTTAGATAATGATAATTTTTAAACTTATTTAAGTTATTTTTACCTAATAAATTATAAATATAAATTGCGCCAAATAATTTAAAAATCAAACTTTCAAAACAAAAATAAAAATAATAAATAATCAAATAAATTACACCAAATAACTTTGTTAACAAGTGTTCTTAAGGCACTTATTAAGAATAAATTAAATAATACCTATTAATTTTAATATTATAGAAAGTAATAAAAGAAATAAATGTATATCATTATAATAAATATCTTTTTCTAATAAGATCAAAATGCCCTTTTGCATATGGGGTGGTTGTTGTGCGAAGGAAGGCACAACAACCACTATTGTGTGGCCATATGGACCTATTTTGGGATCTGATTTGATAATCTAAATTGTTTACTTTTTAAAGTATATCAAGTAAAATATACTTAGAGATGACAATGGGAAGCAACAGAGCGGATATTAATTATTCATCCCCATTCTCCTATTATAATTTTTTCCCTTCTCCATATCCCATGGGGACTACCCTCCCCATATCCTAATGAGTTTTGGTTTTTCCAAACCCAACTTGAAGCCAAATACGCACTCACTTTTATTTATTTATTATTTATTTATTTTTGTTAAATAACAAAATCAAATACCCATTAGTTAATTCATTAAGAAGCTTATTTTAAAGTAATCAAATTTATAATTTTGACACAGTCAAATAAATTTTTAATAATAAAAAGAAAAACTCTGGACTTCACGACCTAGGGTTTTTGGCTTTTAAACTTCTCCATAGAAGGCTACAAATTTGAATCACTGCTGCTGTACACGACGGCAGACAAGCCTGAAAGAGAAAGAGAACTTGTGTCAGTAAATTTGTTGTTGTTGGCTTCCTCTCTCGATTCAGCTTCACTACGAAGGAACACCACCATCACCTCTACGCTGTCATTGGTGCAATGTCACTCACCCCCATCGGTTACTTCAACGTCACTTGCTCCTTCTTCGACCACCTCTTTGTCGAGGCTGAGCCTCTGAGTCATGTCGTCGAAGCCCTCCTCACCATCCTCTCCGCTATTATCATCCATATCTTTGTCGCAAATCAATCATTGTCGCCGCCATGTTGAAGTGAGAGAATGAGAAATAAAAACCCTAACTACAAAATAGGATAGCCAAAACATACGGAGAAATTGGTGGATACCCATCCCCGATGGATATTTAAACTATACCACCCACCCGATCCAATGGGTTGAAGAAAGAGAAAACTCATGTATTTGGGGTTGGGTCTCCATGGTTAATTATTACGTAGGGTATCCATTGGCATTCCTAAATATACTTGCAAAAAATCGAGTTGATCGAATATTTTTAACCCTTTGATCCACTTACATTTGTATTCAGTTTTATACTTCAAATTACATTTGTTATTTATTTTTATATATACAAATGCAATTCGATGAAATGGTTAACAATATCCGATCAACTTAATTTTTTACAAGTACATTTTATTCAATATACTCTAAAAAGTGAACAATTTGGATTATCAAATTGGATCACAAAATGGGCTTATATAACCGAACAATAGTGGTTGTTGTGCCCTCGCATAGCAATTACCTATTATCATATTTTTCTCTATTTTACCTTTTGGACACTTGTAAAAAAATACATACCTAATTAGGTATTTTTTAATTTTAATAAATCAAAAATTTATAAAATTTAGGTTGAAAACTTGGAGGTATGAATTGTCATTTTGTTAGAAACCTCCTTTTCTTTAATATATATGGGTAAAATATGTAAATAGTCCTTATAATTTATACAATGTGTTAATTTAGTTTATATTATTTTAATTTGCTCGATTTTACCTCTTAATTTAACGAATTGTATCATATTAGTCCAATAAATAACGATTGTTAGGTTTGGTGGACATAAAGTCAAACGATGTGTTAATTTCGTCCCTGTCAAAATCAAGCAAATTAAAATAATATGGGCTAAATTGACACATCGTATAAACTACAGGGGTCAAATTGACACATCATATGAGCACATGACAACTTTTCATCCACCAAATCTAACAACCGTTATTAATTAGACTAATATGACACAATTCGTTAAATTAAGGGGCAAAATCAGGCAAATTAGAAAAATAAGAATCAAATTAACACATCATCTAAAGTATAGGAACCATTTGCATAATTTACCCTACATAGATATATATATAGATAGATAGATAATATTGTTAATATGAACATATTCTTAATAAGTGTCCTTAGGATACTTATTAACAAAACCATATGTATATTGTACGAGCACGAAATAATCTTCTCGTATGATCCTGTTGATCAAGTTTGCACTCCTCCAAACGTCGTCGCTTTACTTCCTGAAAACACAAACGTGAGCTAGCCGGCAGTGTGTGCCGGATACCTCTCTGATGCCTAAGTCAGCAAAATAGACAAATAGATAAGAGCTCTGCGTATTCGACAATCAAAGTTGTGTCACCTCTACATAGGTTATGTTGTGACCTTTTATAGTTTTTGCCTAGCATAATCCTAATAGGACTCTTATTACTCTACGTAGAGTCCTCCTATGAATCACACTCCTGAAAGATAATGTTTTTCTTTCAACACCCCCCTCACTGCTTAAACCAAGTGAGATGGTTTTACCATGGTTGGATGACAATATGACCGAGCTAACACTAGCCCTTTGTCATACTTAATTCAGCGCCTTCACAAACAGCACATAGCTCGGCCCTTGTTCACTTATACCTCGGTTTACGTCTGTTGAGACTGAGCTAACTATAGCAAGCTTTGACCGAGCTACCAAGAGCAACCTTTGACCGAGCTACCAAGAACAAGGTCCACCATAAGAAGCCCAAATACCTCAGCTCCGAATACTATGATCGAGCTAATTATCACAATTCCGATCGTGGTGACTGTAATCATACTTGAACCGAGCTTACACTAAGGTCCACTTGCTAAGCCCTTTTCACCACGGCCCATAGAACGGCCTATTACTACGCCTGGGCTTAGCTCGGCCTTAATGTTCATAAAAACTCCCTCTCATATATATATATATATATATATATATTAACCTAATGTAAATAATAATATATAACATTAATTTATATAATATTTTTCATATATATAAGTAATTTTATATAATATTTCTTATATATAATATTAATTTGTAATAAATTTAATATCTTAAATCTTTCTCACACAGATTTTTAATTTGATATTTCATTAGAGATAAAATATAAGGAGAAATGTAATTTTAAAATGATGGAAGTAAATGATTTAGTTACACAATCTAATGCATAAATCACTTATATCTCTACTATTTTGAAATCATTTTTATACTCTCTACGTTTTTGCCTCCGTTTGGCAAGTTGGTCTATGGGTTTTTTTTGGCTATTTTAGCCATAAAAGACAAAATAGGTTATTTTAGCCAAAACAAACAAAACATCACATCTAACCCATAATCATTATACTCTTCTCTTACAAAAAAAATCAAAAAAGCCAAAAAGCCCTTCCCAAACCAAGTTTTTTAGCCCAGGCTAAAATAGCCAAAAAAAGCCAAAAAGTCAACCCACTTCCCAAACGAAGCCTAATAAATTATAAATCATTTTGAAATCATATATATCTATATATATAAATTATTGCGAAGCGGAATAGTTTTGAATGCGTATCATAAATGAGTAGTGTTATACAAATAAATTTTCCAAAGAAATTTTCCTTACAAATTGATGTATCACTTAGAATATTAGTAAGTTGAGCCTCATTTCACATTCCAAAGTTGTATTACTTCATGCCACATCAGTTTGTAAGAAAAGTTTGTAATTTTTTTTTTTATTTTTTGGTTTGTATAGCATTTTCCATTATAAAGTTCAAATCGTGGATCAAACTAACTCGCAGTTACTAGATGGACAATTTTAACAAATTGAATGATATTTTATATAACATTAATTATTATATGGGTTTGATTATTCTCATGTTGGAGATCTAACTTGAGAGATCATTCGGATTTAATGGGCCTATTGTAAGTCCAATCTCGGAGATCCAAACAAATCACTTTTTAAAATTCATTGAGAAGAACATTCATGTAAAAAATTAAGATGGTTGGACTTCGGTAAGTATATATTTGAATCACATTTGTCTTTAAAAAATAAATTATTATTCTTATAATTATATTTGTCGTTCA